AGACATTGTTCTCATTAATTACAGTGTTCATGTGAACCTTTCCCCCTTAACTACCCAGGAATTGGTTTTCCAAGCACTGCTAAAAAGTTATATCAATTTACAGCTCTGACTTTTCTGTGTAGGAGCAAGGTTGACTCCACTCAAGGCAGGCTTTGATATCAACATTATCATGTGGGAATTAGCCATTCGGCCTGCTGATAAGGTAATGGCTATTTTAACAGCAAACAGTCAGCTCTTAGTTCTTTTTTCTCCCTCTATACCTGTGAAGTGCAGTAGGTGCAGGATGAAGACATTGTGGCTTTCATTCCTTGCGTTACTGTTTTTCCTGAGTCCTACAGTGGCGGATGGTATAAGCCCAAAAGAAACAAAGCCCAAGAAAGCCAAACTTCCCCAAATCAAAGAAGAGAACAACATTCTGGTGTTGAAAAAGAGAAACTTTGACAGGGCACTGAAGGAAACGAAGTATCTGCTGGTGGTGTTCTGTGAGTATGAATGAAGGCTGCATACTTTAGAGATGGCTCTGAAATTAACAGCCATGGTGTTTCAAATTTATTTGCTTTATTGTCCCTTGTCCTCCATCATCTGCCTTTTGTTTGTTTTGTCCATGTGCATCTTTTTGTTGTAACTTCAATTGTGACCTCTTTGAGAGAAGGGCTGTATTTTAACATGTGTTTGTACAGAGCTTGTCTAATGGTGCCCTAGGTGCTACCATAGTATAACAATAGTATTATAACAGCGTCAGTGATACTTATAGAGGATTGTGGTGGCTTCCGGCTGCATCCTGCATAAACGTTGACTAAAAGCCCTCAGCCTTCATGGTCTCAGTCTAATTTTCCAAGGACATATTTTGTAGAAATTGAATATGCAAACCTTGTATGTGCACAAAACGAGAGGCCACTTCTATGACCCTAATGATTTTTCTGATTCTCCCTTAATCTCTCTTAGGGTACGTCTAAACTGCGGGCTAAAGTCGAGTTAAGATGTGCAACTTCAGTTAGGTTAATTGTGTAGCTGAAGTCGAGGTACTTTAACTCGGCTTTTGGTGCTGTCCGCTGCAGGAAGTCGAAGGAAGAACATTCCTCCTTCGACTTCCTTTACTCCTCGTGAAATGAGGGTTACAGAAGTCAGAGTAAGAAGCCCATTATTTTGAAATTATTTCAAAATAATGGGCTTGCTGTGTAGACGTGCACTCTGTTATTTCGAAATAACGCTGCTATGTAGACATGCCCTTACTTTTTCTTCACTGCTTTAGTTTCTTGTGTAAGATTCATGGCAAGTGCAAGCTTCTCTATTCTAAATCTTTGGGCTTCTGGGAATGGTTCTTTGCAACAGTTGGTTGTCAGACTGTTTATCTTAGGGATCATTGTTGGAGACACGTCTGTGGCTTTTCTTTTTATATTGTATGTGCTATGTCTCATGGGGGAAAATAATAGGCATACTGTGAATGGCTTACAGTTACAGTATTAGTAAGAGAGTCTGGTCAGGCAATGCCTTTCAGAAGCTGAGATTAAAAAAACCTGCCACCTCCTTGTGCTTGGAACCACAATCACATATAAGTTAAAATAGAAATAAAATCTAAACAGAGTGGACCCCTTTGGACTCCTCCACGTATTTTAAGGCTGTGTTCAAATGCCAGAGTTTGCCATTGCTTTAGGATTACTCTGGTGCACGAGGGAAGTCATGGCAGGCTCCTATTGCTAAGTAAACCTTTCTGACGGTGGCTGTGTACAGCTATAATTGACTCCTACTCAGTGCCTCAATCTAAGCATTCTTGGCTGCTTTTTTTCTTTAAAAACTGAACTGCGGGAGATGACACAGACTGTGTCCTAGTGTTAACAAAATCCCCCAGTCTCTGCATGTGGCATCTCAAAGAATCAGTTCAGGGTCTTTCAGAAAATAAGGATCACATTTCTGGGAGAGAGGAAACTCAGATGAACAAACCCCAGACACAGGAAAATATGCCCTAGTCTAGTGTCATATGAGTGAGGGAAAAAAATCTTCAGCCCCAACATATGGCACCACACACGTAGCCCAGTAACATCCACTTTTGCTAGATAGAGAGGGCAGCACGGGGAATTATTATCCTTCTGGGGAGGACGTGGCCATAGAATTTTGACCCCACTGCTGTTCACTGAATCCCCCACTGGCTGCTGATCACAGATGGGACACAACAAAGCTTAGGATGCTCTTTGTGCCAATATAGTTGGGCTCCGGTGATGGCTGGTGCTGCAGAGGCATCATCCCCACTTTCCGTATGGCCAGGAGAAGCTATAGCTGCTTTAGGTCCATCCAGCTCTCCTAGATTCTGCTCAGCACTGCAGAATCTACTATTTTACAGTTTGCACAGTTTTACCCATAGAGCAATATATATGTAAGCAAATGTAAGTCACAGAACAGGTCTGAAATAATTAATTCTTCCAGTGTGGACCTTTGGCTGTAACTGCTGAGAAGCATCCCAACAGAAAAGCTGCAGACAAATAAAACTACAGACAGAATGATGAAGGATGGGGAAAGCTTCTGGGCTCAAGAGAGGCAGCACAATCTAATCCAAGAAGGTCAGATAAGGTCAGAGACCAGATTTAATTCTCTGAACCATTTGAGTTCCATCTCCTGTAGCACTAAGTATAATAAGTCCCATATGGTCTTTTTAGTGTAGCTCATCCGTGAGCAAGTGTTACTCCAAAATCATTTACACAGTAACCCTAGTAAATATCAAAAAATTAGTTTTCTGAGTTATTGACAGATAATCTGCATGGGGGGGGGGGGCTGTATATTCCTGGTTAGGTATTCCTTCCTCAGCGCCCCTTCCCCCCCAAGATTTCTGCTATGGTTTATATACTTTTCTTTTTTTTTCTTTTTTTCTTTTTTTTCATGGAAAGTGTGTTCAAAACACATTTCCCTGCATCCATCAACAACTATGTGTTGCCTCTGCTCTAATCACCAGCAGAAGTTGTCTCTCCAACAGAAGTTGATCCAGTGACAGATATTATATCACCCACCTTGTGTCTCCACTCTTAATTCAGGCTGACATTTTACTGCAGAACATTGACTTCCTAAAAGGTCATGACAAATAGCAATGATGAAAACAACAATCATGTTGGTTTTGTTTTGAAATACCCTCAAAGCAATTATTTATCAGCCATTTCTCTACACGACACTGTCTCTAAGGGCTTGGTCTTGCAAGGGGCTGCTCAGTCTGTTCTGATCCACCAAATCACTGGACTTCTAAGCAGGGATTAGCTCCACTGACTTCAGGCACATTAAGCCCTTAGCGCATTGGTGGATCAGGGCAGGGTGTTCAGCATGTTGTGGGACTGAGTCCCAAATGCAGAGAGACTTCACACTGCAGAGTAGCTCCATAGACTAGTGTTTCCCAAATAGTGCTTTATGGAACCCCAGGGTTCCTCGAAGTTAAAGTAAGGGTTCTGCGAGAACCCGATCATTCCCCCCCCCACCCGAGCCGGTCTTACAGGTGGGCGAGCCAGGCGGTTGCCGGGAGCCGCTATCTCAGAGGCTTTGTTTTTTTTTTTTTTTGGTCAACCAGTTTCCCCTGGTGTTTGTTTTTTTTTAAAAGGGATCCATGGCCAAATAAAATTGGGAAACACTGCCATAGACTATATGGAGAGGAGGAAGGTGTAACTCTAGAGATGAGGGAATGCTCTATAGGTCTTACATAAATAAGAGAGCACAGTATAGCCAGAAGACAATGCTCACTTCCAGACAGTGCCAGTTCTTTGAACCAAGCAGAAAGGGAGGATGCTGGAGGCAGGAAAATGTTTTGTGACAGGTTTATTATAGGAGTGACTAAGTACAATTAGCAACATAGAGTTTTCAGTCTGCCTAGGACAGCGAAAGTCCCAAAGCTGGCTATGTTCCTAGGGCTTAACCTTGGCCTGCTACTTTATCGACTGTACCTTACTCACAGTGCTCAGTAAACAGATGGCTTCAGCCAGTCACAGTTTTTTTACTCTAATTCAGCTTTAAATTACACAACTATCTTTCAAAGTAGCATTACGTAGAGAGGGGCCCCTATTAAAAGCCCAGAACCCAACATTCTGAACATGGCGGTGGAATGTTTGAAGTAAAAAACAAGAATCCTAACTTCAGAGAGGGCTCCCTGCTTTATAAAGAACTGAACTAAAGCACCAGTAGAGACTAAAGCATGTAGAGACCTCAGAAGAGGCCAGGGCCCAATTGCAGTAGGCATTGTGCACGCGTGCACATATACACCGAAGGGTATGTTTATACTATAGAGAGGATTGAAGCTGCTGCTGTCAATCTTCCAGGGTTCGAATTAGCGGGTCTAGTTAAGACATCTGATTCAAACAGAGAGGGATGCTGCGGTCAATGCCGGTAGTGCTGCTTCTACAAGTAGTAAGGGAAGTCGAAGGGAGAGTGTTCTCCCCTCAACTTCCTGCAGTGTGGACAGCACCAAAAGTCGAGTTAAGGTACTTTGACTTCAGCTATGCAATTAACATAGCTGAAGTTGCGAGTCTTAATTTGACCGTATCCCATAGTGTAGACATACCCCAACACACACAGGCTATGTCTACACTGGCAAGATTTTCTGAAAATGCTTTAAACGGAAAAGTTTTCCGTTAAAAGCAGTTTCGGAAAAGCGCATCTAGATTGGCAGGATGCTTTTCCGCAAAAGCACTTTTTGCAGAAAAGCGTCCATGGCCAATCTAGACGCGCTTTTCCGCAAAAAAGCCCCGATCGCCATTTTCGCGATCGGGGCTTTTTTGCGGAAAACAGTACTGTGCTGTCTACACTGGCCCTTTTGCGCAAAAGTCTTTCAGAAAAAGACTTTTGCCCGAATGGGAGCAGCATAGTATTTCTGGAAAAGCACTGATGATTTTACATGAGATCGTCAGTGCTTTTCCGGAAATTCAAGCGGCCAGTGTAGACAGCTGGCAAGTTTTTCTGGAAAAGCTGCTGATTTTCCGGAAAAACTTGCCAGTCTAGACACAGCCACAGTGAGAAAGAGACGCTTTCCTCCGAAGCAATTACAATCTAAATAGAGTAGACAGACTAGGAATGGGAGAAAGAAAGGCTTATTAATAAACCCGAGTGAAATTTTTCATTTGCAACTTTTTCTGGCAAAAAAGGGGAGATCTGATTACACAAACATTTTGATAATTTGTGTCATTTTTGCCAAGTTGTTTTGGTTGAAAAAAAATCTAAAAATTTATCATATTTTATTTTAACATTTTGATTTTTCTATTCAAAATGATTTTTCATTAAAATATTCTTTAAACAACAAATAAAAGAGATTCAAAATGATCAGAATCAAAATGAATTTTTCGTTCAACCAGAAACATTTTTTTTCCAAATGTCTGAATCACCAAAAATTCTGAAAATTTAATTGTCCATTTTACTCTAAACGGAGGTTGGTTTCAGTTTTTTTGCACAAACTGTTAACACCTTTTCACAGATGGGAAAATGAGACAGAGAGATGAAGTAACTTGCTCCAGAACACAAAGGAAGCTTGTGGGGCAGCCAGTAGACTATCTTAGACCTTCTGAGTCAGCATAAGACCATCCTTCATTTCTTGGAATGGAGAGAATGAGAAGGAAAACAAAATTCTGTAAAGTTTGGGTTGTTTGTCTTTGATCCATTACAGAGAGTTTTGAGCTGCAAACGCTGCTCCTAACATATCTATGAATACAGGAGCAACACAAAGGGCTAATTCAGTCCTATCCCTTATTAATCCTCCCCAACCCCTTCCCTGTTGCATACT